AGAAATCTGATTTTTATTGTTCCATTTTTTGCCTTCCTCCTCTTCACCAATCCCAGCTAATAACCAATCTGTGCCTTGGCCCTTCTGTGACATCCATGTTCCACTATTAAAAAAATTGTCAAACCTAAATTGAAATCATTTCCGTAGAAAGTTAAATAATGCACACCTGCAGCTGAGTGTCTTCTCCATCTCCTTCTTTAAACAGCTCTTCTGCTCCAAATTTCAAGATAGCTGCAAGTTCATCTTTGTTGAAAGGATTACTCCTGTGAAATACAGGGTTACAGCTTAAAATTGAGACACCCAGTTGAGAAGATTAGTGGGACAAATAACAGTGATATGTGGAAAATGTACAACAAATTAAAAATGGAGAAGTGGACCTTGTGCATCTTCACCTTCTTGAGGTGTCTATTGAAAAAAGAGTTGTCTGAATATGACTGAAATAAACAACAGCACATAACAATAAAAGACGTTTTTATTATTATACTCATGCTTACGATGAAGATGAGGAGGCCTTGGACAGCACCTTACGACCAGTTGTGTCCATTCTCTGGATGATTAGATGATCCAGAACCATCTTGCGCTTTGCACGTTCTAGAATGTCCTCTTCAATGCTTCCTTTAGAGACAAATCTATAAATATTGACCTATAAAAAATAACCAGAAACATAACCTCCTTCATTAATTACAGTATTGGAGAATTTCATAATTTTACATCAAGGTACTGTTCTTATGTATTAGCATTCTTCAGAAACAGCTCTGTCCTCATATGTCACCAACATCAATATCTGATCAAGTGAAATTAATTAATATTACAATTTATGTTACAATTATTGTAACATTAATTTCACTTGATCAGAGCAGCTTGAAAATCATAATGTGAGAGAAAAGTGAAGTACTTTTCATAATATGTGTGAGTACTTAATTATGTTACTGATTTCTGCTGTCAATTAACTCATGATAGTGTTTCTTAAGAAGATGGGCAACTCAGTTTATGATAGTGCTTCAGTTCATGAAATTACTGACAATCTAACAGGCTATGATATAGAAAACATACAAGTGAGCTTCAATAAATAATTACATTTCCTACATATAAGTCACACTAATAAGCAACAAAGGCAGTTATGCGTTACATGATGACTTATCCAACCAACCTGATTTCTTTGTCCAATTCTGTGAGCGCGTGCCTGAGCTTGCAAGTCATTCTGGGGATTCCAGTCTGAGTCAAAAATGATCACAGTATCAGCTGTAGCAAGATTG